TTGAAAGAATCACCTGTGTATTTATATTAAAACAATTATTTGGGCTCAGGCTGAGTGATTATTGGGGAATATTTACCTCGCCGCTCGAAGACTCGCGTCTCGGTAAATATTCCCCGATAATCACTTCGCCTTGGGCGAATAATTGTTAAATACAGAGGTCTGATTTTGACGACAGATTTTCCTTAATGTTCCTGAGATACTGTTTTCGTCCTCCTTGCGATACTTCCTCTTTCTCACTCTTTCTTTCTCTCTCCCTGGCACCCTTCTTCTCTCTCTCTCTTTCTGTCCTCTCTTTCTGCCCTCCTTGCCACCCTTCCTCTCTCTCCCTCAGCTCTCCCTGCATCACTTCAGTCCCTCCTTCCTTCTTTTTCTTCTCCTACCTYATTTGATTAATTGAATGCTACAATTTATCAGCTAAATTGCAAAAAACGTTATTCTTCTAAAAGAATACACATCACAATATGAAGTTGTACTACACTATTAAATAGGGAAAGAGCATGTTAATAACTTATTTAAAAAAACGACCAAAGATATAATGATAGAAATCAATTAGAAGCAAGCACTTGAAGCGAGTCCTCGAGTTAGGTTTAGCCAACATCATAAGGAAACCTCATAAGCCAATAGAACGTACTAATGCTAATTCGTGATGGAATTCTTTCCTAAATATGGTATTTAAAATTAGCACGGATAAAAAAAAAAAAAAAAAAAAAAAAAAAAAAAAAAAAAAAAAAAAGATCTGTAAAATTTGAAGAACAAAATATTCAGTGATACGGATCCTATAATAATACTGAAATTTAGTATCTTTTGTTATTGTTGTCGTTGTTGCAGAAATAAACTGATTATTACATATTAAAGTTATATTTAAAAAATATTGATATTGATATAATAATGATATTGATCTCATATTGATAATATAAGAGGCGTAATAACATAGCCGACTGCACCTGCGTTCCCTCTGCATGGCGGCTTGGCAGACAAGGACCTCAATGCTCCTCATCAGTTGAGTGTCTTCTTAGCTATGAATGTCTTTGCAAGTGCTACCTTCCTGTTTATTAGAACACTACACTTGTTGCCACAGTAACACATTTTACAATAACTTACGAATTTGTCGCGCGCTGATTGGTTATTTTTTATCATACAGTATACACTTATTTCAATAAAGTTAGTCACCAAAAACCTAGAAAGCTGAGATCACTGAGCATCATGGGAAACTTTTCATATCAAAAAAAGCATATATATACAAAGCTTTTTTAATACAAACTACGCTCAGAAGAGGTGAGACTGTAACCGGTAAAATATTCGCAAGTCCATGAACAGTTATCAAGCGGTTGGAAGTGTGAAATGAATCTACCCATAATCTTTGCCGGCCTCAGCTTTATAGCTTTCCAGGTGACTAACTTTATTGAAATGAGTGTATCAATATGAGGACAGACAGATAAAGCTGACGTCGAGCGCGAGCTCTTTCTGTTGGTTGTTTTGATCGCTAAAAATGAGAAGTTTTTATTTATTTTTTTTAATTGACATCCTTTTTTTGTGTGTTTGTCCTCTTATTGACGATAAATTTCGTCATCACTTTCGGATCCACGAGGCGTTATTAAAATCAATCTATCATTTGATATTTACTGAATGGTTAGATTCAAATACCATTGCCTCAGACTTCTTACATTAAACTTTTTTTTAAACTTCGATTTTCCGAATTGAAATTTAATGCTGTTTCTAAAACTGGAAAGAAAAATTGGTGTCCCGAGCTTGTTTTTGAGATAATCAGCATTTAATGGAAACCTACTCGCGAGCTTTTGGAGCAAAAATTGCGCCACCGGAAGTAAATAGAAAAAAATTAAGATTAATAAGATAACAGTTATTTGCAGACTATATGATGGCACAAATCAAGGCTAGTCAATCATTCTACAATANAAAAAAAAAAAAAAAAAAAAAAAAAAAGATTACAACGACTGCACATACTAGGAGTTCCTAGCAAATAATTCTTAATCTTATTATACACAAAAAAATATCATCTACAATTAAAAATGGACAAAAGTCGATAGGATGTAGTAGTTTGTCGATAACATTTCAAGTTAACGAAAACATTTACAAAAACTTACAAAATATGGTAGATAGTCTAAAATTGCAGTCATGAAATACATAATCATTCAAAAGTAGAGCTTTTCAAAGCTAATCTAGTATATACTATGGATACAGCTGTTAAAGCTGTTCAAGCAAGTGTTGTCACTTTTTCTGGGAAYATTTGCTTGACATGACAGCACACTTAAAAGCTTCATTATGACTGATGAGAATAATTTTATACAGCATCTTAGGATTTCTTATTTGTGTGTGAAATACCAAAAAAGGGTCTTGAGAAATAAAACAAATACCAAAAAAGGGTTTTGAGAAATAAAACAAATGAGACATAAATGAAAATTTTGTATATAACTTATTTATTTCTAATAATCATAATATATAATGTCTGGGATAATTATGATAAACAATGTGTCAATAGCGCTTGTTCACGTCATCAGATTGAGGAAACTAAAGGTGCTGTTTTATTAGCTTTGAGGAGTTTGATTCTTCAGATTCAATCCATGTTAGTCTCATCCCTTATCAACTTAATCCATATGTTTCCATATGCACAAGTGATCCAATATTCTAAAGATTTTGACTTCATAACTTGATATAACTGGGATTGCACTCAAAAATCTCTGAAGTGCGGTTTATGTTCTTTGGTCTGTCGACTCGTCGATCATAATGTTGAGAAAATCAGATACTTAAAGAGGATAGTACCTACCCTCTTTCATATTCATCTGTTAGCACCTTTAATGAAACTTTGATTTAAGCCCATCTACGGATAGCGATTCCAAACTTCGGAGCAGAAGCAAAGTGAACATCAAACATGATGGTGAGTAAATACTCTACTTGTTATGATCACAATGTTTGGCTGGGTCGAAAACCACATCAGTAGAACAGAAGAACAGTCTAAACTTGCTGTTATACTATATTTTTTATATAAAAACCTTTTCTGCGGCAAGCAACAAAAAGGACTCCTTTTCATAACCATTTTATATCTATGGCGTATTTGGTAAATAAAGATATTTAAAAATCCTTTTTTTTAAAGTGTTGAGTAGTTGTAGCCGCTAATTCGCACTCTAATGGAGACACTTTTTCACTCACACACACTACCACTACATTCAATATTCTATACACACATAATGCTCAACTCACATGCTGAGGAAGAACCCTCGTATCATGGGAGAGAACAACACATCAAACAAACTCAATATCCACATATGGTGTCCGAAGAGCTCGAATCTGTGACCTGAACCTGTTGAAAGACGACGCGTTAGCAGATGGTGTGCGACACCGGTTCGCAAAGCATGATGGGTTTAAACATAGAATATGCTCATTTGCTTCTGACCGTCGTAGTGTACAGAGCTCCAGCTGCTTCTTCCTTAACTGAAAATTCACGGTATTTTTGGTAATATTTTCAAAAGTTAAAGATCTTGCAAATAACCCGATAACTCATAACTGGCTTGGGCTGTTGCTATAACTACTTCCCACTTTCAAGCGAAGAAGCAAAATATATATTTTTTGTTTAGTTTTACTTCAAACTTCACTCATCAGTAGAAAGGCCTATCTTTTCCATATCCTTGCAACAAGCTCTTAATTTTTAGCTTCGAAGAAATAGAGAGGCTTTTTCTTCAGCAATAGGAATTTGGGAAAATGCTTCAAGCCTCATTTTTTTGCGCGACATTCGGGAAAAAAAAATGAGGGAATCTGATTGGACGATGAATGTCACGTGCACCGTGTCGCACACAACCTGACGCGTTAGCAAGCGTACCCCACCCATGCAACCCAAAATATTTTAGTCTTGTATAGCAACTACTGTACATGAGGTCTTGTTCTTGTTTATATTGTCACAGTATTGTGTCTATTGCCTCATCTCCAGTTGTTTGTAGTGATATTATCCTCATTGGTAACCATGGTTACAGTGACATCACAAGATCAGTCTTGTATAGCAACTATATGAGGTCTTGTTCTTGTTTATATTGTCACAGTATTGTGTCTATTCCCTCATCTCCAGTTGTTTCTAGTGATATTATCCTCATTGGTAACCATGGTTACAGTGACATCACAAGATAAGTCTTGTATATTAACTACACGAGGTCTTCTTGTTCATCCTGTTCCAGTATTGTGTCTATTCTTTCATTTCCAGTTATTTCTAGTGATATTGTCATCATTGGTAACCATGGTTACAGTGACATCACAAGATCAGTCTTGTATATCATCTACACGAGGTCTCGTTCTCGCTCATCACGTCTACATGTCCTTCAAGACTAGCGACCCTCTAAAGTGTTATCACGAGTGTACGTCAGACATCAAATGCCAAAGCATCAACTACTACCGAAACACTCAAATATGTGAAATGAATAACAGAACCGCTGGGCTGAAACCGCAGTATATACGTGTTGACCAGTCAGCGGTATACCTGGACAACCCCTACAAAAGTAAGTGAATAACAATACTTAGGCGTGCTGTTCAGCCTAGTTGTGATTTTTAATTTTTACGTTGAGTTCTTTTTACGAAGATGTTTTATGTTTCTCCCTGATTCAAGATACTCTTTTCAAGGTTAATCGGAAAAAGAAAAGAAATCAAGCTTCCGTTATCTAAATAACTCCCCCTCCCCTCCAACACCTTGAAATGATTCGTTAACAGAATGCTATGTCAGAACGTGACTGTTTGTTGGAAACGGCCTATTTTCATAACTGTTCATGTTAGCGACATCAGTATGGTATACTTATTAGCTTTTAAATTTTGCGCAAAAAACTACTCTACACCGTATATAACCTAAAATAATTGGATTTCATTGTTTTTGTGATGTCGGGAATTAAGCTCCTATTGGTTCTTCAAGTGCCGTCCCTGCTGAATCGTGCGATGAGATCAGAGATATCTACGGTTCTGTTAACAACAGCCTCACCTACTGGATAGCTGAACATGGAAAGCCTATGGAGATGCTTTGCTCCATGTCAGGCCTGCTAGGTAAAAAAACCTGCACACCTAAGTGTAATTAGTGAGACAAAGTTCCTAACTTGATTTTTCCTTACAGACCCAGATCTCGCCTGTACATTTTATACAAACATCACAAATGCAACCAGAAATGTTAAATATGGAAATCCTCCAAAAACTGACAAATGCGACAAAACTATAGCCTTGGGCTGGTATCGTTTGTGTGGGGAAGCCGGCGTTCGTATGCCCTTCAAGTGCCCTCCAAAACAGCAGTGCAACACAGACGCACCTGGCTGGTTAAGTGACCCGCACCCGACCATTGAAGAAGGGACGATCTCAAGAAAGGTGTGTTTTCATTGGCACAATAACTGTTGTCACTGGTCCAGATACATTAATGTGCGCAACTGTGGCGGGTTTTACATTTATCAGTTTCGTCCGACTCCAAGCTGTTATCTACGCTATTGCGGTGAAGACTAAACGAGAGTAACTGTAATTAACTTCTAAATAGTTTAGGCTCGTAGCCTTACGAGGTAATTTTAGGGACAAAAGAAAAAAAATATTTTTGAGATTTATCACTCAATTCAAAATGGTCATAGAATGTTAGCTATTGATTCTTACTTCCTTCCACCCTTCCCCACCCACCCCACCATATATTATTAATATATAATATAACATATATTAAAATATTTAAAAATAATATAACTCTTTTTAAAAAACACGCATTTTGATGAAATATTACAAACTCTTTTAGATCAAAATAGACATTAAAATTAAAAAGAAGAAAAAAGAAGAAAAAAGAAAAAAAAAAAAAAAAATCGCAACTACCGAGAAAAATATCTTATATTGCTCATACATATAATGAAGCTTACTGTCAAAAAACGTAAAATAAAATAGCATTGACATGAAATAGTTTTGTTAAGAAATTCATCACAGTAGGAAATGTCAATAAAAGATCAACGGACTAACTTTGTAAACAGCTTATGAAAGCAAAGGGGAGTAGATGAAGGAAGATAGCTGTTTGAGCCAAGTAATGTTGACATATCGGTGATTTTTAATTTTCAAGATGTTGTCATATAGAATTAGCAGAAATTAATTGTCAAGAATATTACCATTGTTAAATATTATTACAATATGGGCTACAAGGCTTGTATATCTCTGCTATATATAAATACTAGTAATTAAAGGAAGTTTAGTTGTACAGAATATGGGGCAAAAATGGAAGTATCGTTATTAATATTTGGGAGGTAATACGATGGTTAAGCGACATTGCCAAGCTGTGACAACTGATGTTCCGACGCAGTTTTTCCATTTTCATTAAAACGGATGCGAAATGTCAAAATATTTTCCCCTGATGTACGCTTGACTAAGCCAGAAGCTAAAGCAGGTGAAGTGGAACCGCCAACACAAAACATGACCTTAGAAATTAATAAACAAACTAGACGAGAATGTACACTTAACACATATGTGGAAAAGCTGGGAGTTAAAGGATTAGCCACCAACTTCATTAGTTTGATTAGTCATAATATGCTGTCGATGAAGGCAATGTGTCATTTTTTTGAAGTACAAAAAATTCGTTCTTTCTTTATCAAATCTTATGAAATCTTTTCCAATACTTTTTATCTCACAAACCATCGTGATCATTGATACGGAGAGTTGTTTTAATTACTTCTGGGGGAACTATTTGGTTACCTATCTGACAAAACGTCTCAACTATCTTGTCTCAACTTATCTCGGATACCAAGCCCCTTGTGACGTCCATGAATCACGTCTAAAAAGAATATATAGACTAAGTTAAAGTGTTCTTTTCAAACGTTTGGTTATTGAGGTGTGTTGAAGATCTAGGAACATGGCAAGTGTTAAAAATAATAGTATATTTGATATTGAATCAGAAGGCATGAGGGAGTTACGAGATCGCACATTGCTAACGATAGTCCTAGAGACAGGCATTTTACTTCTGATTGACGGAGTTTCGCTGATTGGAAACCTAGTGATATGCTGTGCAATGTTCAAGAACCCTCGTCTACATACGGTTACCAATCTATACATTCTCTCTCTGGCCATTACTGATATAATGATGGCATTGATTGTAATGCCTGCATCATTTGGTACCCTAGTGACTTCAAGATGGGCGTTTGGACCAGTTGTATGTAACATCCAAGGATTGGTTATTCTATCCTTAGCGTTTGTGTCGTCGCTTACGATAGGGTTGATGTCTTTGAACCGGTATTTCAGGGTTGTGCGGCCGAACACGTATCGTTTACTGTTCACGGTCAAGAAGTCTGTATCCATGATACTCATTGCTTGGGGAGTAGTTTTCCTTTTTGTACTTCTCCCTGTGGTCTGCGGCCAGGCGTTTTTCGTGTTTCGTCCCAAGAGATCAAGTTGCTTCATGAAGATAACTATCCCGTTAGCAAACAAGGCAGTCACTGCAAGTCATCTGGTTCTGTTTGTCATCCTTCCGATGATAACCGTGTTCTTTTCTTATTCCAAAGTATTCATAGCAGTCAGACGTCACTCTGCTCTAGTTGTGCCTTCATTACAAACTGCCAACGAATCCGGGGCAACAGGAATAACAGTTGAAGAAATMAAAATCACCAAGGTACTATTTGCAATTGTACTTGGGTTCTTAATCTGCTGGTGTCCGGTTCTCATTATTGAGTTTTTTAACACCTCTTTGCCTGATCCTTCATCCCTCGATCGTTGGGTCTACCTTTTGTGTAACTACCTCTGGTATACAAGTGCGGCTATTAATCCTATTATTTATGGAGCAATGAATAGACCGTTCAGAACTGAAGCTGTAAGAGTTCTTTCAAAGGCAAGCAGAGCTAGAAAACAAAGCCTTGCAGATGAACATGAAGTATAACTAAAGGCAGGTTTTTCTGACAATGATCATGATTGCTGCAACTAAGTTCACTCGACATGTACAATTGAACATTGAAATGACTTTAGTATTCTCTGCTGGTGAGAGTCATCAGTAGCGAAACTAGGAATGAAAGTGAACCATACTGACGACACTAAAGTACTTTTAATCCAAGCTACAAATTAAAATAGTTTAATGAACCTCACAAACTAAGAGATCACATAATAGAAAATAGATAAATAAACACACAGACACAGACACAGACACAGACACAGACACAGACACAGACACAGACACAGAGAGAGAGAGAGAGAGAGAGA